TGAGCCACCGCGCCCAGCCTTATGGTGCTGTTTTGATTAGTGTTGGAGGATAGCTTGAAGTCTGATAAATTGATGCCTCCCAATTTGTTCTTTTTGCTTAAGTTTGCTTTGGCTATACAGGGTCTTCTCTGGTACCATATGAAGCGTAGAATTATTTTTTCTAGATCTACAAAAAATGATGTTAGTATTTTAATAGGGATTGCATTGAATGTGTAGATCACTTTGGGTAGTATAGACATTTTAACAATATTGATTCTGCCAATACATGAGCATGGTACGTTTTTCCATCTGTTTACATCCTTAATTTGGAATACTGTATGTCTGTTTTCCATGAAAATAATGAAGTCCAGAGTTTACACTTCGACATAGGACTCATATTCACTTTGCTCCTCCTCCTTCCCTTTCTTATACTCAGCTGCACCCAATCCACCATCACCTTCAACCCAGTATATTGGTAGTGTATACCAAAGATCCCAAATATCACCACAGGCTCAGAAGCTGTTGAATGGGGAAATTGAGTCATACTCAAAATAAACTTATTTAAAATAAAAATTAAGAGTATACTTTAAATTTTCTACTTTAATTTCTTTTGCTCAGTTTTATTAAATATTTCATGTTTAGAATGTTATCAGTTGTGAAACCAGCTGTGGACTTCTATGGGTGATAAAATATTTATAGAGAACATGGGAATCTGTGTGCTATTAAAACCAATGAAACGCAGGTAGCTCATTATTTCAGTCCTTCAATTTTTATTCTTGCTTCCAACTTTTACTCTTCCAACAGTGCTAAAACATGGAACTAGGTAGATTTATAGCACTTTTGGTAGATGGTTGTTAGACATTGATTTCATATGACTCTGTGCAGTAAGACTACATCTCCCTAAACTTGACACTTAGCATGTCCTTTATCCTTTAAAAATAAAAATACTTCCGTTGTTCTGTTGGAGTAGGTTAGCTTATAAAAATAAAGTGTTGCATCTTTATATGTTTTTCAAATGTCCAACTTAAAAAAATAAAATGACAATTTACTTTCTAGCAGCTAGGTAAAATTCCTTAACTATTAACCTCTGGTACTTTAAACAATGTTAAAAGAGCCTTTAAAAGAAGACATCAATTAATTGAGGAACAATTTTAAAGTAATCTTTTCCAAGTTTTAGTTTTTTCTCATTCAGGTTCATAAAAATGTCAGTTATCAAATTTGATATTAGAAAACAAGATGCCTCACATCCTCTGTGGAATAAAGCACAGTATAAATGCAATTAGAACATTATGACCATTCTTCCTCAATTTTTCCCATTTGTAATATTTCTCCCAAGCAGATAAACCTGACAAATTTCCTCTTATTGCTCATGTGACCACTTTTTGCATCAGATACACTTAATTTTGTAGGTTAAGTATTTAGAATCAGTGAAATAAGAGGAAAGTTGCATATAATGTGTTTCATTGCCATCAATCTCATTCTAGCTAGCTGATATTCCCGGCATGTTCTTTTTTCTCTGTATAATTTTATACTTTTGTAGTGTTTAAAATTTACAACCTGTATTAATCAGATCTTTACAATAATCTTATCAGGGAAAGAAAGGTAGTGTGTGTGTATGTCTGTGTATATATATGTGTGTGTGCGTGTGTGTGTGTAAAAATATTTAGTCATTCCCTCAGTACTTATGAGGGATTGGTTCTAGAACCCCTCTGGACACCAAAATCAATGTATACTCAAGTCCCTCAAAAATGGTGTACTGGTATATAAACTATGCACATCTTTCCAAATACTTTAAATCATCTCTAGATTATTACAATATTTAATACAATATAAATGCTATGTAAATAGTTGTTATACTATTACATGTTGCATGTTTTAAAAAGATGTGTATCATTTTTCATTGTTCTATTGTTATTTATTACTTTCTTCAAATATTTATGATCTATAGTTGGTTGACTCCACAGATTTGAAACCTTCAGATACAGAGGACCTACTGTGTACACAGAATTTACATTTATGGTGCACATATATTTTCGTTTACTTCCCTTAAGGTGAGGAGGTGAGGATGACTACACAACAGTCTCATGGGAAGTTAGCTGGTCTGAGGAGATGCTGGGAGAACAAAAAGGGCTTCTGAACATTATGGCCCAAGCACTTCCCACTGCTCTGGCTTGAATAATGTTAATAAATGCTATCTTTCATGTACAAAATATATACATAATAAATGCTATCTTTCATATACAAAGGAAGTCAAAGTTGGTACTACCGATGTTGGCTAGCTTGGTAGGGAAGGTATTCAGGTACAGAATAGAGGATCACACCGTAGAGCTATGGTGATGAGGCTCCAGCTAAGTGGTTCATTCAATCAGCTATCATTTCCAGCTCTTTGATGTTCCCAAGCCTAGGAATTTGTGAGATGACTGACAGTGGATTAAGAACGAAGTATGTAAGAATTCTTGGCAAAGCTGGTCTTATCCAGTTTATGTTTTGGCTTAGCAATAGAAACAATGGCTTTCACAATTTAGGCAACCACAAGTAGAATTTCAATTTAAGTCACTTTAAGTATAAACCATGGACTTATAAATCCCTGGGGGAATTAATTATGGATTCAGTTTTAATGCTAGAGTATTGCAGCGCACAATAGGTAATTCTGAAAAGTTGCTGTGATAAAATATTGCAGGTAATTAAAGCGATCCAATATCAAATTCTGTACAACAAAATTACCTTCTATTTTGTACATGCATATGTTAATGCCAAATAGCATTTATATTGTGTAATCTACCTTAGATGCTTTTTTGTTTTTAATATGATGCTGTTGTTTCAAGGTTCAATAAATAAATTCACTAATAACCATTACAAATTGATTACAACATTGAACAAGAGATAGCACTTTCATTGTACAAATCATAGGCTTATGCCACTGTGCAGACAAAAATCACTTAGCATGAAAGCCTGAGGTCACAGATAGTAACATAGATTCCTACCAAGTAGAAATCTACTTGATAGTGATTTTTATGAGTTCATCTTTAAAAAGTGATCTCGCTGAATAACAGCTCAATATTTCTTAAAAGAAAGGTAAATCTAGAAAGCTGTCCACAATTTTTGATCCTATACTACTAGTTCCACCTACCTGGTCCATTTATTTTCATGCTGAACGTAAGGTTAGAAAGCATATTGGGATATATTACAGGACCTGAGATCGGGGGCAAATTTGTAATGGGAATGCGGATGTAGAAAAATACTTCTAGCATAAATAAGAGTTTTCATTTGATCTGCCTAGAGTTCTTCGGAGGATGCGCAAGAACTCAGCAGGTGTAGCCCTGCCCTCTAGTGGACTGTGGGTGGGAGAAGACATCGGCTCAATGTCTGCTCTGTCTGGCTTACCAAGGCTAATTAAAACCAATCGTCCATTAAAAAGCAGTTATTAAGGGTCTGGGTGATGTACCGAGCAAGTGAAAGGTTCACGTGGGAAAAGACATAGCCAGTGGCCAAAGAAGTGCCGGTTCTTTGGCTTCAATCAGTGGACGATTGGTGTCTAGTTGCTGTTCCAGCCTCTCCCAGGTTCCTTAACTCTTGAAACAAATGAAAAAGATGTTTTCCCTCGAGCTCTCTGAGGCTGAACCTTGCCCTCAAATTACACACAGGAACTGAAGCACACCCCTTACTGGGACAGAATTTTGAGAAGTCGCCCTGCGATGACCAGCTCTCGCAAGAAATGTGAAGTAGGCAGAGCTGGGGTTTGCAAGTGGGTGTGCGAGACTCGGGAGGCTGCTCACGGTGCCCCATTCCCTGGCAGGAACACTGGCGCCTGTCTGCGCTCGTCCCCTCCATCGACTGCCCTCGCGTTGCCCGCCGAGATTGTGACGGCCGCCCTGACGGGAGGGGCTTCCCCTGTGGACTTCGTAGAGAGCACTCAAACGCCTCGGGGACAGCGGCCATGACTGTGTCGGTCCGCTTGGTCCGACCCCGCGGTCGCCTCATGGGAATGAGTGGTCAACGCGAGGCAAGGGTGGAGGTTAGACCCTCGCGCCCGGCGGGTGCGTAAAAGCGGACGGGTACCGTCCCGAGGGTCAGCGAGGGACCGCCACAGGGCAGGCAGGGACGGGTCGGGCAGCCAACCCGGCGCGCCCTCCTACCGGATTGCTCAGTTCCAAAACTGCGCCCATGCCGGGCCGAAGGCTCTACCTTCATTTCATTTCCGCCTTCCCCGCCCGTGAGTGCGAATGCGCCTGCGCGCGCGCCTCTCGCAGCGGAAGTAGTAGCGACAAAGCTCGGTGCACGGCAGGCCCGGAGTGTGGGGCGCGCCGGGGCGGCGGGCGGCGGGGAGGGGCGGAGCGCAGGAGCCGGAGGCGGGAGCAGACCGGTGCGGTCGCGCCGAGTCGAACCGGCCGGGCCGAGCGTGACGGTCCCCTCACCTCCTCTCCTTTCCCCTCCCCTCCCCGCCCGCCCTCCTGCTCACTACTTCTCTCGACGCGAGCAGGCTCCCGCCTTGCGCCGCCGCCCCGCAAGCAGCTCCTTTTCGCCCGAGGCGCGCAGGGCGCCCCCGCGAGCCCCGCGGGTGAGTCCCCGCAGCCTGGAGGAGGGGCGGGTCTGGATCTTTGAGAGGGTACCTGTAGTACCTCTTGCCCCCATTTCCAGAAACTTCCACGTCCTGAAGGAAGGGGGCGTCCGGGGATACCCCGGCTGGGGGTTGTCTCTAGGGCGCCGCCCGGCTGGCGTGAGCTGGGGACGTTGCGGGTAGCCGAGAGGGCGGGCGCGGGTTTTGGGGGCTCCCGAGGTGGCGGCTGGGCGGGGGACTCCCTTACCCTTTCTCTCGTCAGCGCCGCTTCTCCTGATTTCTCTTGCAGATGCTGCTGCTAGGGGTGGTGGGAGCAGCCGTGGGACGCGTGGCCGGGAACGGGGGTGACAGCCTGGGATTCCGGGGGCTTCTCTTCCTTGTCCTCCTCTCCTCTCTATTTCCAGTGTGGCTGTGGCTGACACTAAAGACTTTGTAGCCATCAACCAGAGTGCAGTTTCGATGGAAAATGAAGGTAAAGGCCCCTGGCAGACGGGTTGCAACGCGGAGTTGAGGGTGTGGTGGTTTGTTTTTAAGTTGTCTTTTTTCCACCTTTTTATTTTATTTTGCATGTGAGATGTCCAAGGATTTGCTTGCTTAGGGTATCCAGCTTTTATTTTGGTCACGTGGGGAATTTCGGGGATTAAGGTTCTGTGGGTGACTGAGCTTGATTCTGCTTTTCTGAGAATTCCTGCTTTCTTTAGCTTAGGAGATGGAAGAGAAGTTTTCATTTCAGATAGCATCTATCCATTTGAAATGAAAGCTATTTGAAAGGAATCACCCGAGGGGAAGTGAAAAAGGGGGGCAAGGGGATGGACTGCATCTCTGTATATTTCCATAGCAAGCCTTGATATGTTGTGTGACTAGATTAATTTATAAGAAAGAATGATTTTTAATTATCTCTAGCTTTGGTGAAAAAAAGCTCATTGTTTTTCAGTTCACGAAAAACCCCTCTGAATTTAATGAAATATTTTGAAGTCATTTTCTTTCTTAAAGTTCTACCCTATTTCAGAACATCGTTTAGGAGGTTGACAGTGAAACCTGTTTGTCCACTGTACACTTTGAATGTCTTATATTGTCATTCACATGTTACTTGATTCCTTTGACCTCATTAAAATATTTAATGCTTTTCCTACACAGCACTGATTTATTTTTTAAAACTGAACAACTGAATAAATGATTTATTTTTTTTCCCTCCTGAAATGACCACACTTATTCTTTGGACTGGCTTCTGACTTGTGTGCAATCATCTTTTTTTTCCCTAGCTTTAACCAGGCTGCAAGATGTGATAAAAGATTCTTAACAAATTACAGTTTTTAAAATCTATATCTGGTACAAAGGAGCGGCAATTGGGCTTGCTGGCTGCTTCTCATTTTTTTTTCCCCATTGTTGAAAATGTAAGCTTGATACGTCTAAGGACTAGTAATTTTAAAGTAGATGTTTCTTATAGATGCAGTAATCTGTTTTGCAATCTGAGACTTCGGGGATATGGAGGAAATATGATGAGAGACATGATTATATTTTCCAGTTTTACTCTAGATGGATAATTGGTGGAAGACATTTTCTAAAATGCAAAAGTGTGACTGCAGAGGAGTTATACTGTCTAATTGGGTCTCGAGAAACATTTGAAAGCAGTAATGTTTTTGTTTGGTGGTATGGAAAATCACTTTTCTGAGCCTTTTTCCTCTCTTAGTTTATAGATCTGGGAAAGGCAAATCCATTCTGCATGAAACAAAATTAAATGCTTTCATATACCTCTAAAACTTAATGGATGTTTGTGAACTTATTTTCAAAATGTTACCAGATTTAAGAGAGTAGCCTAAAGTAGATGGATTCTTAAATGTTGCTTTTGTTTTTTGATCTCTGACAAAGAAGAGCATGAGTAATAATACTGATTCTCATTATCTCCTGAAGTGAGAGGGGGTGGTTGTGTTTGATTGTGTCTGTATTTTATGGCCAAATATGAATGATGTGGCTTCAAAGTAAAAGATTATACAATTCTTAAAAACTTGTGAGCTTTTCTGTCTCATTATTCTTGACCATCAAGAGACCGTTTTTGCCAATTTCTAACTACCATGACATGTTTTTTCCTTTTTTCATATTTAAACATTTTTAAGAAGAACCTGTATATGGCTTAGAAATTTTCAACAGTCTTTGATCATCTTAAAATACATGGGTTGATATCTATGTCTTTTTATAGTTCACTTGCCTTTTTATGTATCCTCCTTTGACATGGTGTATATAGTATTAATAGTTTAGAGGTGTGAAACAAAAATGGATTCAAGCCTTGTCTTGAGTCACGTCTTGTCTTGAACCACTTAAAGCTGTGTGATTTGAGGCAAATTATTTGACCTTTTTGAGCCTCTATTTTCTTATCTATAAATTGGGATTGATAATGTTTAGTTACAGAGTTGAGAGGATTAAATGAAAAACCCTGTATAAATTCTCTTGAGGTGGAGGAAGGCTAGAGTTTAAGAACTTGGGTTGTGGAGCCAGGCAACTTGATTTGAATGCTGGATTCCCACTTACCATTATTTGGCTTTATGCAAATTATTAAAGCATTCTGTGCTTCAGTTTCTTCATCTATAAAATAAGGATAATCATAGAACCTACCTTATAAGGTTGTTGTAAACATTTAGAACAGTATCTGGCTTATAGTAAGTGCTCAATAAATGTTAATTGTAAATAGCCTAGCCCTATAATGCATGCTAATGTGTCAGTTGGCATTACTATGTTGTCATGACAGTTGAATTTGGAAAGGGAAAGAGTAGTGCCCAAAATTTTCTGTTTGAAGTTGTCATTGTTAGGGGATAGGAAGAGTTAAGTAAGGAATTTTCTGTAGTGTTAGTGCTTTAAGCCTATACAAAATGTTAGAGCTCTATCAGGAAGCCAGGGGCCAGAGTGGAAAGAGACTGGCTTGGATTTGAATCCTGCCAGGTAATTTTTTCCTTGAATAAAAATCTATTAATAACAAGTTACTATGCTTCTAAGCTTTTTTAACTTATAAATCTTCTCATCTGTAAATGGGATAATGCCCTCTTGGGTGATTCCTGTGAGTAACAAATGAAGCCTGGTATATGCAAAGTGGCCAGAACAATGGTTGACACACAGTTAGCTTGCAAGAGTATTTGAATGATGCTATTCTTCCCCAGTAACAGAGAATTTTCCGGTAGGTATGCAGATAATTTATAGCTCTAGGTGTGAACAGTGTAGAATTGATAGTTGCTCCCTAGAGCATCAACATGCAGGTTCTTAGGTAGCCTGCCAAGTTGACTATGGTTTTGGGAGGAGAAAATGGCTTCATCCATGTGGTCCTCTTCAGCAGTGGTGGTATTTTCTTTGGCACTTCAGTTTCAATTCTTCTGGACCTTTTTTTCAGGGCCCACTTAAATTTTCTCAGCAAAGCTTGACCAGTTTTTAGCTGTAGATTCCAGGATGCTCCATGAATACTTCATGCCAATCACTAGGAAAATTTGGAGTGTAAATTTCTTGGAATTTCAGGGACTGCCCCTGGATATCCATTTGTGAGTTAGAATTTTATTCACACTGTTTAGAATTCCTTTTTACATGTTTATCACAAAAATAAACATAAACCACTTAGGAATCTGAAATGTATAATTAAATGGCTCTTTTCTGATTTTTAAAAATTGTTTGCATGTGTAAAGGGCTAGCTTACTAGACAATTCTAGGTGGAGAATTTTGTAAATAGTTTCTCTTTCCCATCAGTGGAATAAATTTGGCTTTTCCCATTAAAATGTAAATTTAATGCACATGAAGCTAATATAACCTTAAATTTTTGACTAGAAAATATATAGAAAAGTAATTCAGACATGGTTAATTTAAGATTGTAGGCAAAGCTGATAGGTCTGGGAAGTAATCCTCTCAGTCTCTTTTGGCTGACATTTGAAAATTAAAGTATTTGTATTTACACTTTACTTTTTAAAATAGTCTTATTCAATTTCAAATTGTTAATCATCTAGGAATGTCTCAGGAAAAGATTGTATTAGGATAGTTGGAGAAGCTATGAGGAGAAAGAGATGATTCCTTTTCTGTATTGTATTCCTTTTACGGGAAATAGGAAATCAGGTTATACAAATATCTTTTTAGGTGTGGAAAATATAGTTTATTTTGTTTGCATTTTTCTCAATAAAATGATATTCTTAATACTCTGGAAAAGAGTTGAAACTGAAAGAGATTGTGTATGTGACAGCATTTTATAAACTGTAGTAATTTAAGCGAGAGGGATGCAGCAGAGATTATTTGTAAGCAGTACCCTTCTGACAATTGAATCTAAATACTTGATTTGTCTTAATGTTTTTATCATTCATTTAAAGTCAGCAGAATTCAGCTATGTTAACTGAAGCATACTGAAACAAAACAGTTTCCTAGGGAACATACCCCTAGGGCCCAAGGCTGATTTTCTTTTGAGATCTTGGTTAACCATCATCTGTTTTACAAGGTTAAATTTTTTTTTTTTTTTTTAAAGGTGGAAACAGTACCGTGGTTTGATGGAAAAGTTAGTTTGGGTGAATTTTAAATGACGTCATTGTTACATGCAACATCTTAAAATACCTCAGTTCCAGAGGTCCCCTCACATTTACTTTGTTAAAAAACAAATTCTTTTTGTAATGGTTTCAGGCATCAGGTGTGACAAGATTATCTTTACTCTTCGTATGAACAAGTGTTAGTAAAAGGCAGTAAGGTAAAAACTGGTTAGGTGAGTGCTGACGTTAATGCCATTATTTCATGCAGGAAAGGACTTCTCACAAAAGTTGAGGCTATGGTGATGCACTTCCTTTTGAATGTATATGGCTGGTATTTATATGCATTTGCTAATATAGTTGACTCTGGAACAACTTGGGGGTTAGGGGAGGTGACCCCACTGTGCAGTTAAAAATCCACATATAACTTTTGATTCTCTTAAAACTTAACTACTATTAATAATGGCCTACTGTTGACTGGAAGCCTTACTGGTAACATAAACAGTTGATTAGCACATATTTTGTATGTGATATGTTTTATATCTTTGTTCTTACAACAAAATAAGCTACCAAAGAAAATGTTACTAAGAAAATCATAAGGAAGAGAAAATATACTTACTATTCATTAAGTGGAAGTGGATCATCATAAAGGTCTTCATCCTTATTGTCTTCACGTTTAATAGGCTGAGGAGGAGGAGGAAAAGGAAGGGTTGATCTTGCTGTCTCCGGTGGCAGAGGAGGAAGAAAATTCAAGTATAACTGGACCCTCACATTTCAAACTCCTGGTGTTCAGGGTCAGCCTTATGTCTTCTTTCGGCTTTAAGTTGCTGTTGACAAAGATATAAATTTTAGGATTACAAGTAAATTACACAAATTATGTTAAATTAGATTAGCTTAGGCTAAACTTGTGATACATTTAGAAAAAGTTTGAAATGTTAAAAAGCTATCTTATAGACAGTAGGACAGTAATAGCTGGGGTCCGAAGCATTATCTT